GAGGAGAAGCATGTTTCAGTCAATTGAATTAAAAACCTGAATTCATGAATTAAGAATCCCCCAACTGTCTCTCACTTAAAAGAAATAAGTGCTCCATGGAGCCAATGCCCCATCTCCTTTCATGCTGTTCAGCAGTTTGTAGAGGTGTTCCTCTGTAATGGAGAATATTCCACAGTTTCACAAAAGGATGTACAGGCTCAGAGGTGAGCATGACAATACACAGAGAGACAAAAATACTAATATAAGCAATGAATAAAATATACAAACCAAACCAAAATTAATTAAGAGCTCTTTCCCCTATGCACTTCTACATCAACTGTTATGATGACATTTTTGAAAGTTTTGGGAGAAAATTCATTAAGAGCTCTTTCCCCTATGCACTTCTACCTCGACTGTTATGATGACATTTTTGAAAGTTTTGGGACAAGGAGAGATACTTATCAATATAAAACAGCTCTGCCATAAGTTTTTGCTGACTTGATGATACTAAACTGAGCTTTATGATTCAGGAAACATTCTGCATATAACTTTATTCAACTGCATGTGAATCAGAGTACCAGTTAAGTTTCTTTTGGCTGATACATTATCAACTGATATGGAGATATGATTGTTACACAGTAATGTAACCCGGGCAGCAAAACTTTTTATTGCAGCCAAAAAGACGCATTCTAGGTTTTGCAATATGGACAGAACCACTTTTCATGGCCTCATTTCAGCATGACCTTTGAGCGATTGTTATGTCCTTCTTCATTGTTCATTAATTGTGAGAATTAAATGGCCAAAAGGATCTCTCAAACTGTGTGCCATCAATCTAAAGAATTTTATCATTTCTCCTCTGCATAGAATTCCTTTTTCCATTTGTGAAATGCTTTTCAGCTTAGGAACACAATTACTTCAGAAAAAGGAGAACTCGAACTTCATATAAATAACATAGATCTTCAAAAACAGTCAACAAATCAAGTGACCCGCTTTAGACATAGTTAAAAGGAAGCAGCTGTTTCCAGGCAGCAAAATAAATAAAGGGGTTGAAACACGCAAAGTAAATATGCTGTGATGTACTTTAAATCTTTCAACATTGCTTTCAGCTATCCCACTGGAAAACTTGGGCACACTGGATAGTCCCAGCTGAAGAAGCAGGCTGAAAAGGCATCAGTACAAGATGTATTAAGTAGGTTTGTTTATTTGTTTGTAAATATATAAAAATAAAATATGTAAAAATAGACACTGGCTGAAATAAAACACACTGCAAATATCTTGCTACTTGACATAAACAAAAGTGGTAGAATCAGGTTCTGAATCATGAGAATTTGTGTTTAGGTAAAACTTTTATACTGAACTGCCTCGGAGACCTGAGCCCAAGCAGAGTCACTGCAGTCACCTTCTGAAATGAAAGTGTATTCAGGTGGCACATGCAGGGGTGTACACACGCCAGGAAGGGACCAGCCTACCTGCAAATGTCGGAGGAGAAGAAACGCAGTACCTGGTCCTTCTTCGAAAGTGCATGCAGGTGGCACATGCAGGGGTGTGCACACGCCGGGAAGGGACCAGCCTACCTGCAAATGTCAGAGGAGAAGAAACGCAGTACCTGGTCCTTCTTTACAAATGGTGGGAATGATGCCCCATCTGTGAATAAAATAAAGTAAGGCCATGACAGCAATTCCACTTAGACGGAATGATTTGATTTCTAGCTCGATACTTACCTGCTACTTTAAAGCTGTGAAAAAGGTAAACAAAATGAGTCATTTATGGGGAAAACATTTATGAAAGTTATTGCACAGTGACAGGCACTCCACAGATAAGACTGAATTGTTTTTGAAAGTGAGCCAAATTATTGCAGCTATTTTTTTTTCACAGATGTGAAGCTGCATGATCAAGAGAATGCTTCAATATTATTTAGTCTAAAGACCTAAACCTTTCTAGAGGTGCTTCGTTCAGCTGCGAAGCACTTACAAGAAACACAGATTTAGACTTCCAAAGTGCCTATTTAATAATCAGTGTTAAGCATTTTTTTCACCAAAGATTGCTCAAGTGGACCTCTTCTTTCTAAGCTAATGGAGAGAAGGAAGCACTTCTAGGGCACAAGCCATCTCACCCAGTGGTACACATGCAAAATAGGTCAGAGGAATAGCACTTTGGTGATGTATTTTTCTTCACTTGTTATAAAAACAACACAGACAGCCAGTTCAATGTATATTTCTGCATTGAAGCATCCCAGTTAAGTAAGAAGAGTCTCTGCTGTTTTCCCAGACAAGGTGTTGTGAGAAACCTTTTACTGGTACATTTGTTACTACTTGCTCCAATTTCTGTTTAGTTGCTTAGTCAGCAGCCGTAACCAAGGGATTGAAAACATCTGTGGTATCTTTGAATCTAGTTGGCAAGAGCGAAAACACTAAATTACAGACTGCCACTTGCCCACTGCTGACAGAAGCACTTTTTCTTAAAGAAGATCCAAGATCATCCTAGACACACATTCTATTTCTTAATCTTGGCAGTCTTGGAGAATTTGCGAGCTTAGACTCATTTCCAACTCCATACAAGAATACTGCTTAATATTTTTATCTAAATATTTAGTTGTACGACACATATGCTGCACTTTGTTGTGAAAACTTACAAGATAAGAAAGAATTCTAACACTTAGTTACAAGGCTTCTTAAGCTAAACACATGGTCTCTCCTGAGTAGTTGCACTGAATGATAACCTGAGTGATAACTGTTTGATAACCTTTGCTAATGAGGAAGAGCTCCAAAATTCTCACTGTAATGGAGCACTTAGCCTAGTTAGCTGAATATGTTTATTCCATCAGTTGTGGGAGAAGAAAAAACAAGAATTCGACCCTGGGGGGAAAAAAAAACTGTTCAGAAGAAAGAAGGAAAGTCCCAGAACCTGAGACAATGTTGCCTCCTATAAAATTAATGACATCTAATCCTTCCTTATTCATAGACTTTTGGAAAGTCAGAATCTTGTGACTTATATGAAATACTTCAAAATAATTTGCCATTAGCTCTGGGTTATAAAGAATAATCCCAAAAACCTGCTTGTTTTGATACTCCCATGGGAAGCCTACAGTGCTCTGCAAAAGCTTCCATGACATCTGCCAGCCTCAACTCAACAGATTCTGGTGTCCTTACAGTGATGCTTTCATTTAACAAGAATAATATTATAATCTCAAACAAATGTATCTTAAGTATTTTCATATGCATTCCAAAAACTAATTCAAAAATATTCTCTAATTTATTCATCCCAAACTAAACTATTCGTCGTCTTCTTCCCTTTTCACTTTCTAGCAGCTTCCAAACCACCTAACAGCTCGCTCCCTCATTACCGCAATTTCATATCTCAGTAAATTTTTTTCTGTCTGCTTTTTTGCTTTAATTTTGTTTTTCAACACTGTAAAAGAATGTATATTGTTAGAATGCAAAGGTAATTTACAGCTGCTATAGCAAAGAAAAAGTATCTTATTTATATTATACCATAAAGATTAATTATAGAAACAGAGATCTGATTTCTTTTCTTGTATCTCTTCCACATCTATTCTAGTTGAAGAGGGTGTGTGTATATATATATATAAAATAAAGTACAATAATATATATTATAATAAATAGATACATATGTATACATGTATAATAATAGTAATATGTACACATTCATATTTATATAGACATTTAATATACAGAATACAGAACTGTCAAAATCCAGGGGGATTAACTTAAAAATTTTCTTATTATTCCCCTGCAGTATCAAGAAATGTTTTGAAATTTTAAAAAGCTTAAATAGGCTCACCTGTGCCATTAACCAGATCACAGTGACCTTCCCAGTACGAAAGATTCCTTTAAGATAAAAAAAAGTCATACTGCATGTAGTATATTATACCATGCAACCCGTTTCATTACCTGTATTGCTAAATATAATTGCTCCAGTTATTTAGCTTGATCCATTAACAAAGTCAAAGTATAGAGATGTTCATTCATGTATTCAGATAAACTATATGATGCACTACAATAGGATAAAAGGGATCTAGCTAACTAAGCACGCAAAACAGAAGTAACTATTTGTATCAAAGAATCAATAACTGTCTTAAATCCAGATTCCTAACAGAATCATTAATTCCTGAGAGAGGTGGTTTTGCTAAGCCCAGGGCTTGGTCTAACTTTCTTTGAATTGTTGAATTGCATTTATCTGTAGCTTTTACTGAATCAAGCCTTAGAAGCGATAGCTTAAAAATACATGCTGTTTTTAGTTGTACAATGCTATGATACCTTTTGTTTTTATAGCTTTCAATTATTGCTGTTTTTTTAATATCTTCTGTCCCAGTATAGACTCTGTAAAGTCCATCCAATGTCCCATTATACTGCAATAGACACAATAAGAGGGAATAACAGTTAGAAGTACTGAACCAGATTGTAGCACTGTCAGATTTTTTCCTCAGAACAGCTATCTTTATTTTATTCCACAGAATGATAACTGAAGGCTTTGCCTTCTCATTGGTTTCACTTACCGGGTAAAAGACTCCCACAACTGAGTTCGAGACCATGGGGATCTTGTCTAAGAAGGGATCTGTGTATCCCCACAGTAATTCTTTCACTGTTCTGTTCTGCAGCATGGTTGACTTTGACGATTTAATAAAACTATTTGCAAATATTTGCATTAAAGTGTTCTTATACACTGAAGGTACAGCCTACAAAAGCAATAAAATCAATGGTTAGCATAAAATTCTGCATGTGCTTTGGATCAAAAACACAGAGACTAACTCCAAGAAACCTGTGGCAAAGCCAGTTTCCTGAGTTGCAGCTCACCGTAAGTTAAGTTTCGACTTAAAACTTATACTCCTTAACAAAACAAATACTGGGCATGACTTGCACATCATATACCTTGACTTCAGTAAGGCTTTTGATAACGGTCTCCCATAACATCCTCATAGGTAAACTCAAGAAATGTGGGATAGATGATTGGACTGTGAAGTGGACTGTGAACTGTCTCAGCAACAGAGTTCAGAGGGTTGTGATCAGTGGCACAGAGTCAAGTAACCAGTGTGTGGCCAGTGGGGTTCCCCAGGGATCAGTGCTGGGTCCAGTTTTGTTCAATATCTTCATCAACGACCTGGATGAGGGGATAGAGTGCACCCTCAGCAAGTTCACTGATGATACAAAACTGGGAGGGGTGGCTGACACACAGGCAGGCTGTGCTGCCATCCAGTGAGATCTGGACAGGCTGGAGAGCTGGGCAAAGGGGAACCTCATGGAGTTCAATAAAAGCAAGTGAAGAGTCCTGCATCTGGGGAGGAATAACACCAGGCACCAGTATAGGGAGACCTTAGAAAGGTTTTGTCACCAAAAGAGAGAACTAAGAAAAAGCAATAGCTCCCAGATGGAAGAAAAAAAATAAATAAATTCAACAGATATTTGAAAGACAAAGGAGAAAGCGCAGGTCTTTCAAGATGTCATGTCTGATTTCCAGAAAAGTCTGATGTCTTGTTATGCCACTGCTTGGAGCTAAAGAATCAAAGCTCTTAAGTATTGAACCGTGCTGCAGCCCTGCAGGAGGGGCTGAAAAAGAGAAGAGAAGATTGGCAAAAGACAACTGAGCAGGGTATAAAGACAGGGGATCTTGTTAGTGTATACAAATATCTGAGGGGTGGGTGTCAAAAGGAATGGGACAATCTCTTCTCAGTGGTGCCCAGCAATAGAACAAGAAATAATGGGTTTAAGTTAGAACACGGGAAGTTCCACCTCAAGATGAGGAGAAACTTCTTTACTGTGAGGGTGACAGAGCCCTGGCACAGGCTGCCCAGAGAGGTTGTGGAGTCTCCTTTCCTGGAGGCTTTCAAAACCCACCTGGATGCGTTCCTGTGCGGCTGCCCTAGGGGATCCTGCTCTTGCAGGGGGGTTGGACTAAATGATCTCCAGAGGTCCCCTCCAACTCTGAATATTCTGTGATTCTATGATTTTATGATTCTATAATTCTACACAAAAGCAGACAATTTGTCTTCACTTCTTATGAGTTTACTAGATCATCCCCAGTCACAGAATCACAGAGCAGCTGAGGCTGAGAGGGACCTCTGGAGGTCAACTTGACCAACTTCAACTCTGAAGCAGGGCCAACAAGAGATATTTGTACAGGACCATAGACAGATGGCTTTTGCATATCTCCAGGTAATAACCTTGATTCCATAAAAAGGACCAAGTACTGAATCTTCATTATTTATTTAATTAGAAAGAATTATATGTTTCAACAATCAAGTCCTTCTTTCTGAACAGCTTTAATTCTAAATAATTTTTTCCTAATTCAGTGAAGAATAATGTAGATTTACCAGAAGTGATTGTAATGAACTTTCCCAGGGGCACAAACACAAAGTCAAGCCCCTAAAGGCAATGAATAGATTGTGGAAAGCAAGCAAAAATGATCTATATTGGCCTGCCTGATGAAGCAGGAAATTGTAGCAATTTCGATAAGTAAATCTGTATAAAGACAAGGGATTGTCTCAGAACACGTGCTTTGCCTAAGCCCATTAGAAGACCATCTCTCTGTAGTTAGTGCTATGTGGATAGCAATGTAAGTCTCTTCTGCTCTTATTTCTTGCCCCTCACCCCCATGCATCTTTTACTTCTGTCTGGGCTTGAATAGAGCAAGCCAAAAGCATGGATATGACAAGATTAGGAGATGCAGAAGATGTGGATTCAGTGCGCTCAGGATTAAGAAAGTGTAAAAAAAAAATCTCTGAATTCCCTTGTGAGTATTTTGACAATAGGTGATGATATAAAAGATGGGCTCTACTGGATTGATGTAAGTGCTGTCAAACAAGGTAATCAGAGCCTCTCTGGCAATTCAGGCTTACACCAGTTTGTTTCTGAAGTGCAAAAATGGGCCTTGGATCCTCTGCTCCCATCTCCCTGGTATGGCTGCCTCCAGGCATGAACCTATGTTTAGACCCATAAAGAGTTACATGGTCTAAAGTGCTGAGCAGTGTTGGTTAATACTGTGACATGAAGAACTCTGAGCACAGGAAATATGAACAGCTTTTCAAAAGAGAAATGCTGGCCTGAATTAGGACATAGGCAGAATACAGCTAGTCTGAATAAGATCATACACTTTTATTTATTAGGTCTTTTCTCCCCAGAGAAAAGGAAGCTCAGAGGAGACCTCATTACAGTGTACTGGTACTTAAAGGGCAACTGCAAAGAGGATGGAGGCTCTTCACATGTAGCAGCATGGAGACGACAAAGGACAGTGGGTACAAGTTGCCACCAACAAAGGTTTCATCTTGATAGAAGACAATTTTTTTACAGTGAGAACGGTCAACCACTGAAATGTCATAGAGTCCCTGTAACCGGAGCTTTTCAAAGTGCAACTGGACACAGTGCTAGAAAATTTCATCTCGGCTGTCTTTCTCATAAAAGATTGGATCAGATGATCTTTTAAGGTCCCTTCCAATGTGGGCTCTTCTATGATTCTGTGATTGATACTCTAGTTCTACACTGTGTTAACACTGACTGTCTCTTCTCTCTGCCACTAACACCCACCCTCTCCCGAGCACACACACAGACACCACAGTTAGTGGAAGACAATCAGGCAACACAATCAGAGCTGAGTATAAGTACGAAAACTGAAAACCTGAATCAAGGGCAGACATTCTCAGCCTGCGACAACACAAAAACATCCGGACTGAAAAGGCTGTAGTGCTACTCTATGTGGAGACCCCTGTCTCCTGAAGGACTAAGGTCTCAGTAGGACAGGAGAGCTCAGGGCATGCCATTGCAGTGGTGCTGAGGGGCGCCCTGGCTTGGGAAGCAAGCAGCTGGGGCAGCAAGGCCATGCATACACCAAGCATGGGTTTTAATACAGCCTCCCCTGCAATGCAGAACTGAGGATATTATGGAAAGAGTATGGCAAATCTATCTTGTATTGTTCATGTTATACTGCACACAGAAAGGGAATCCATCTGCAAACTCTTGATTTGTTCCCACACTGAAAGTAATTAAGGGGAAACTTTTTGGTGCATTCCATCCAAACTGATGACTTTGCTTCCACCGACATGAAAATGTCAATTTCCATTTAGCAGTAAGGTTACCCTGGGAATATAAGAAAACCTTAATATATATGTAATATGTCCTCATAATTTATTTTTTTTCGAAGTCCATAGTACAGTTATCTTCAGCATAGCTGACATTCATGCCATCTGAGTTCATAGAGAGGATATCCTGTAGCAGTTCCAGTATTACTAATGCTAACTTCCCCTTATTTCCTCCAGTATCTCAACATTTTAATGTGGACATTATGGTTTTGTTTCTTTACTTACAGCAACAGCAAGGTTGAGGCAGGTGATCGTATCATTTTCTGTCCCAATGGACATATCAGGTTCAAAAAGAGCAACATTAGGCAACATATAAGATATTGTGCCATCCAAGTTCTCTGTGATATTTTCTTTGGGTAAATATCGCACCCTTCAAAAGCAAAATAAAAAGAGAAACTATTTTTAATATTTGCTTTTTGAGAAAACACATAACCATGCTTAACTGAAGATTTTTGAAAAGTTGATGAAAATTTTTATATGAGTGTTGAACATTTTATAGTCACTGAAAGGATTCTAAACTTCTCATGAAAATTCTACTTTCTGGAAAATATTTTAGAGATATTTCCTTAGTGCCTAAGAGATGCTTTTCTTAATAGTAAAGTGAAAACAAATATTTCTCTTTCATTTTTATTTCAATAATGGACCTTGTATCTTTTTTATATTTTGTTTTGAATTGATTATATTTTGTTATATTTTTTCTAAAAATTTTCTCATGGTTGCATGTATTTAGAAGGGGATGACTCAGAATGGTTAATAAACACTCTTAAGTTTTATTTAATATGCCTGTGTTGCAACAAAACAGATTACAGATTAAATTGATAATTGGAGTCACTTGGATAATATTTCACATGCATATGGAGATTTATAAGCAGTCTTTTAGCTCCACTGATACTCTCCTTCCGGAGTAGCAGAAGCTTCAGAGAGCATTTCCTCATGGTAGAGGTGTAGCCAGTGTAGGTGGGCTTCACCCTAAAAGCAGGATTTTGGCTTCTCACTGTTGATTTTTGTGTGTATCATTTTAATTAACAGCCTAATGTGCAGAGCATCTGGAAGTTTGGAGATTTTTCTTCTGATTAATACTACTTCTAACTAGAAACAAAAGACCTAAAACAAGGTTTCCCAACAGAATCACAGGGATAGTTGCATTTCATGCCAGTTTTTCTACACTGTCATAAATAATTAAGTATTTAAAGGGAGAGTGAGAGAGACTCAGTGTCAGAGTGACTCAGGTAGAGCCTGTATCCTAGGTGACCACAAAGGTGAGAAAAGCTATAGCCATCATTTCTTACATTGTCTGATCTATGCTTCTGTCAGAGATCTGTCCCTGAGAAAATAGGCACCAGCACCAGAGTAATTAAAACATTTTGCTGGGAATTCAACTTTTGCAGTATTTCTTAACTGATTGTTTTCCAGTTCCTGTGTAACAATTCCCTATGCCTTCCCAAATAATCTGTGAACCAAGAGCTCTCTATTCCAATGAGAACTGAGTAATCTTTTAAGCATCAGACCACCTCAGCTGTAGATGCTACAATGTAAAACCATCTTCTGAATGTAATACACAACCCCAAAGATATAAAAAAGAAATATCATTTTAGGAAAGTAATTTCCTAACAAGGGTGCCAATGATAGCTGAGCACAGGATTGAATGATTTAGGAAGCATCTACTAGTCCTCTGTCAACATCACATCTAAAAATATGCAAATGATTAAAAGTTTCCCTGAACAGGCATGAATTGCTGCATTCTACCCTAGCTAGGAGATTCAGAGAAAGGAGTGATTTTTCAGAGGAAAAATTGAAATAGGATATGCTATAAATTAAAAATGAGTCATAAAGGACCAAAGAAGCAAAACAAAAAATATGAGTGATATATGGATAATAAGATAAGCTGTTAGTTTTAGGGCATCTGGCATATTTTCTTCTACATGAAATGTTGGCAAAAGCTGCACAGCAACAAATGGAACCACACCTGTATATTGTTGTGGCAAAAAACTTGGTAATAAGCAATTATTTTTTACAAGACCAAATATCTTCACATCCATTTACCTATTGCTAAATGTGTTTTCCCAATGTGAGACCCAACACAGCTGGAATTTAGGCATTTTGTCAAGTCTAAATAAAATACAACCGTGGAATTTCAAAAACAAATTTTAAGTCAGCAGAACTTCCTCTGAATTTAACAAAACTTCTGATATGACATGCCACATACTCAGGGGGCTTTGCTTACCTGTATGTGTAAGGTCCTCTTTGTTCAAGTTGTGGCTGTGCTCCTTCTAATACTTCTGAAGGATTTAGCACATGGAAAACCCAAAATTGTCTGTAAACTGAACTTCCTGGTACAAGCCAATTTTCAAAAGCAATGGTACCATTTGCAATAACAGCTTCCTAAAAGGACAAAAATTAAAGCTAAAATTAACCACACAAAATGAGTGATAAGCTGTGTTTACTTTCCACATGATTCTAGAGGATTCCCAAGCAAACAGAAAATAAAGCTATTTTATCAGTAATCTGAGGCATACAGCACACACTTTTGGCCAATATTTGAAGGCAGCCTGACATTCTCACTCAGGGAGAACAAAAGTGAGTCCCCTTAAAATATTGGCTGCACAGCCAATACAATTCCTACTGTAGCCAGTAGCAAAACTTCCCTACTGCTGTGTTCAGGCACTGCCCTAGTTTCCAAATACTTGCCAAATCCACTGACCATTTGTTGAAAAAAAAATAATTTTCATACATTTGCAGATAGCCTAGGGGAAGAAACAGGAGTTATCTCCAAGCATATTCAAGCACTAAGTACTTTTGCACCCAGAGAAATGAAATAATGTTCTTGCAGGACTGTTTTTTGTCAGAAAACTCTTGTAACCAAAACTACAACTTTCTAAGAAATTTTTTGAGTTTTGATAACATTTTTTTGGCAAGTTGCCCACATCTAGGAAATGAGGGCAAAATATGGCTGTCAGGACAAGATAGGACACCAAAACTGACAACCAGTAGCTTTATGTCTAAGGCATTCAGCTGGAGTACGGTAAGTGTTTATTCAGTTGTTCAGTCCAGTGAGAAGGAAGTTGGAATGTGTATTTCCTGTATCAGCAGGAGAATACCTGCTTTTCCTGATCTACATCAGGCCTCTTTCTGTATGATTTCTCCCAAAGCCCTGAGATAATGCAGTTTTTCCCCTTGGTAGTAAAGATTCAGAAAATTTTGTTTCAGTAAGAAAAATCTAGGCTGCCTGGCTCCAACGTACAAAATGCATGTTTTATTAGAGTGGTATGATATTAATTAGTTAATTTGCACAGCTCATAATGTCCCAGGAATTAAAAACCTGGAATCCCTCCAGATAGCAAGAAAAGACATTTTAAATTACAATTTTTCTTTTTAGCTTAAGCTTCTGCCTTTAGAGTTTGCTTAGCAAGCACCGATAGAATAAAGTATACTACCAATTAAGAACCAGTGCAGTTAGAAACGAGTATCATGTCTGGAAAACTCACAACACAGTCAGGGCTTTTTCCATGGAAAGCCTGTTCATATGGTGAAGTTGCCAATGCCTTGCTGGTAGTTTAAAGCACTGGGCTTGCTGTCTGAATATCTGCTATAATTTGTGTGCGTTTGTGTGAGAGGGGAAAGAAAGGTCTTTATCAACTTGAGGTCTTGCGCTCAGACTCTACAGCTAAAATTCTTTTCAGCCTTGTTTTGCCAGCCTCAGGAGGCCAAAGACTCCATCATAGCTGTGATTCAGCAAGGGGAAGACCACCTTCTTCATGAAGAAAGAAAAGTTTACATGATTTGGAAATCACCTTCTCAGTTGCCACAGAGAATTGCTCAAAGCATCTGGGAGAAGCAGGTTGATCTAAAGAAAGATGCAACTCGGACTGCTCAGAGTCCTTCTGTGATTGGTGCTCAGCAGGGTCCTGGGACAGGGGCAGATGTCAGGACTTGACCTCCTGCCTCTGTGTAACTGGGGTAGGGAAATGGCTAAAGTCAACTGGTTGGTCGAATCCAAGAAATTATGAACAGTCAGCAATGGAAGTTTCTCTACCTTGTTGTTTTACACTAAATGCAGCCATCAGGATTTCTGATTAAGGAATTCAAAATTCAAGACAAAGTTGCTGTATTGACAAAGGATATTGTCAGATGGACAAATGATGCCATTTTCTGGGAACTGAGAGATGCCATGAATATTACAGGGTATAACAAAGTTGATACTGGCTTATCCCTATGTGTTTTGTTGAGCTGCATATGTAAGCTAGAGGAAACAAATGGTAGAATTCTGTAAAACCAAATAAGTTAAGTTCTAGGAAAGCAAATAGTATTTTACCAATTTGCAGCTGAAAATATGAATATCTATTCATTATTTTTTAAGTGATGATTATTAGCTTCTTATTAGCCTTTCTATTCAGGCTTTGTTAGACCAAACATTTTAGTGCTTTTTCCGTTCTTGATCATAAAAAAGTATGAAACCCAAACAAGCTCATCATTGATAATGCTGGAATATGTGTGATTAATTCACTTAAGTTCTTCTAAGAGTTACCAATGGGTTTGAGTGGTTAGACTTAGCTGGAAAAAAAAGCCAATCAGCTGAAAAATAAAAAAAAAGTTTTATCATAAGAGAAATTACAGGAATTTTGCCTTAGTAATTTTGTTTTAAGAAGGGGAAAGGCAAAAAGTAGTAGTTCACCCATGTATAAACATCTTCTTTCAAAAATATCAGATGCAAACATTCTGATTCGTTGTTTTGAATTCACTTTTGCTTTTGTTTTTTTTTATATTAGACATGATAATATCTAATAACAATGATAATAGACATGATAAAGTGCAGCTGAAATGTGTAGAGTCAGTTAAAAAGGTACATTCTGATACCCTCAGACAAAATACTTATAGTAAAGAACTCTAAAACTTTTATGTTTCTCTTCTAATTTAACAAGGACATTTTTTCTAAACCCCTAAGGCCTTCGTGGAAAGGCATCTCTACCCTCTGGACAGATTCAGTGTTTGGGGAAACTAGGATCTTGCCCCTTGGTACTGAAATCAAAGGCACATTTTAAGCAAGGAAGTTTCCTTTCCCTGAACAGTATCAGAGCTGAAATATCTTAGTACTAATCTCATTCAGTGGATCCCTGCCAAGATGCTGCCGGTGGTGGCATTTTGTGTGTGCTCTTCAACTGACAGTTTCTTTAAGGTGCCTCTAAAACAGGTATGTAATGTTAAAATTTTTTAAGTACTAGAAGCGAGAGTAGAAACAGCTTATCCCAAGATAACCTGAGATGGGGGTAGAACAATCCAGGGGTATTGAAGATAGCAATGAGCATTGTATTGAAGCACAGATGTATGTGAATAAACTGGAACACATGAAGAGGTGACACCTTGCTGCAGTTCCATGTTACATGGACTTTGTTTGGGTTCTCCACCCATGGACTGTTCTTGGGTGGAGAACACCTGCCTGCTAGGAGATAACAGCCTATACTCTGAAAGTCTCTGACAAATTGCTAAGGTCATGCCAGATTATCTCTACACTTGGAGATGCTTTCTTATTGCTGCAACCACGGTGTGCAACCTTCCAGCAAAATATGTCCTGCAGTGTTTACTCAGGCTAATCTGTCAGTGACTCCGGTAAAGAAGAAATGAGGCTGGCAGGGTTTGGTAAGGCACAGAGATGTATGCCGAAGGGAAGTGTGCTCAGGCTTCCACTGCTATCAGAACAGGAACATTAAGAACTATTGATTGCTTTGATTTTTGGAAACAGAAGTTGTCCCTATTTATTGGGACATGCTATTATCCCTATTTTTTGAGACATGTGATTTGACTAAATCTTGATAACAAGTAAATTTATGACCATTCAACTTGTTATAGATGAATTGTCCTAAAACTATTCATTCAGGAGAAAAAAACTTATTCAACATCTGTTTCTCTAATATAGTATATTTTTTATAGTAAAATTAACTTCTCCTAGAAATATAGATTTAGATTTACTGTGTTGCTGTGAACTTGCAAAAAGAACTGGGCTTTACTCTGAGATAGGCCTGAGAGAGGAACAACTAGGGGTCTTTTTTCAATCTTTGGACCGTGCAGAATTTAAGATATGATTTTGCTTACAATGATGATATCTGAAATGGGGTCTCCCTGTTATCAAAAATATGTCATTTTAATATCTTTTTTCACCCACTGAAAACCTAAGTTCAGGTTTTGCCTCATATGAATCCAAATTCAAATATAAATATTTACAGACCGTATTTGAGAGAATATCACACTCAAGTTTTTTTCCTGTCCTAGAGTCTCTACTCTTGAGAAATTCCAAATAAAATTTTCCATGAAACTGATATGATTCTACAAACATTTCCTTAAAAAAAAGACATTTTCAAAAGTGAAGGATTTCACCAAAAAATGTATTTTGAGTATGTTCTCTTCAGCAGACCTATTTCCTTTTCATTTATTTGTATATTTATCTTAAATGCAGCTGCAGTGAATAAAACATTGTCTTTATTACTAGCTCTTTCACCCACAGTGGTAAATCAGAATTAGTTAGATTCAAGTTACTCTTCAGCATCTACTGAATTGATGACATATTTCAGCTGTTGCACCTTGGTATACCTTTCCTGAAAAGGCATTGTCTTGGAACCTCATGGTCTTACTAAGTAGTCAACATGATAAATAGGAAAAAATAGTCCAGTATAAATAAAGCCTCTATAAATTTACTCTTTTGTGTTTCATATGAATACTGGTAACATTTTATATATATCAAAAAAGCTGCCTTGAAATAGGTACAAGCATCTGAAACATGATCACAATGTAGAAAATTATAAAGTGGTTGAGGAAAAAGTTACTCTGTCTAATAGTTTACCACTAAGAACTCAGGCAGGTATAATTTTGTACATAGATATTTGCAAACCATGCTGTATAACTGGTTCATTATTATAAGTATACAGATGAAAACATAACATTGTTGATATGTATAATTTGCTTTGAAAATACATAATAGCATAAAATAACTCAGAGTAATTATTTTATGTAGAGAGGTACACATTTTTTAAACTATGTGCTTTCTAGAAAACTTGACATTTCCTCACTACCACAAAGATAAAATAATAATTGGAAAATTCCTCTATGCTTAGAATTTCACTGAGTTTGCTGACAAAAATAAAATGTTATGTAGAAGCCATTTTTTTTCCAATTTTCTAGAAAAGTGTTGGTAAACTCTAGGGAGAGCCACAACAGTTTAACATTTCCTCACAGTTCACACATTGACCTCCTCAACAGACTTCAATAGGTGTTAAGGGCACATCTTCCAGAAGTGTCTTTGAATAAGTATCTCCAAGATCTCCACAGTCTACAGCACCACAGCAGATCATTAGGAGGACTAATCTTCAGCCAAAGAATTTAAGGTTTCCAGATTTTTAACTGTAGGAGACCCCATCATGGCTGCACTGACTCCAACAAGACTCCATGTCTCCATGGTGGACACCCCAGGGCTTCCATGGTTGCTCACTCCTGATTACTCCATGATTTAGACCCTCAGTTGTACATCTTTGCCATTGAAGATTTAACAAATTAACTTTTCATTTTTCTTTAAAGGCAAAACTAGATTTTAAAGAAATAAAATAATCTGAAAAGAACAGAAAAAAATGTGTCTAACAGGTCTACAACACTCTACGTCAATTAATTTTCACACTCCTTGAATTAAGGAGATGTATATTATCAGATCCTGGAGTCTTGTGGAGAGCATTAACTTGGATCATACATTCACAGAATGCGAGCTCAATGCATGTAAGTGTAGGATTAGATTATTCTTCAAAAGTTTGTTAGGATTATTTGCAGTATGCAAGTGTAAGTGCATGGATTGAGTACCAAAATAAGAAAAAAGTGCAGAAATATAAATAAGTGGATCATCATGGGGAAAAAATTAAGAGACTAGAAACAATTATAATTAAAAAAAAAAGTAAAAAATGCTTACTTCTAAATTATATTATCAAAACCATATTCTGAAAACAATATTTTGCCTTCACATGGGAAGCATGAAAGATAGCAAGCAAGTAAACATGGCAATATAATTAATATATTAAAAATTATTGCTACAGGATCTATTCTCAGTAATGTTTGGATTGCATTACAAAAATTAGGTTTAATAAAAAAAAATAAAAATAAACCAGAACACAAGACTTATAAATAATGACCCTTCAATAACCACAAATCATACAGACTAAAAAAAAAGAAGTAAAGAAAAAATGTGTACCTTTTCTATTGCTTTGCCTATAAGGTGATCTCCAACTGGTATCAGAACTCCTCCGAAGATAGCCAGCACAGCACCAATGACAGCCCCAGTGAGGAGCCCACAGTTTCTGTTACAGCCCATTCCTCTCCTTTGTCAGGGTGCAGGCAGGCAATGTAAAAGTATCCTTGCTGTAAGGCTTGATGGCTTTTTTCTCACTTCTTGGTCTCAATAGACTCACTGATCTTCCTGAGAGAAGCTGTTAATATAAGGATACAGTGAACAAAAATCATATTCCAAAGCTCAAAGTACAAAGTGCATGAGTTGAAGTGGGTAGGAAGATAACATGTTAAAACTAGATAGACAGTGGCAGTCAGTGCCAAAAAAAACAAACAAACAAAAAAAACCCCAACAACAAACAACAAACAAACCCAACCCCCCAAATATGTTGCATGTACTTCTGGCAAGCTACTTGGCCAGCTAGTTGCGTGTTACATATAATTATAATATTTTTTTATTCCAATTATCTAAAAGACTGATAAGTCCTTTCATTAGTCTTCTTTTTTATTTTCGTTGTTCTCTGTTACATTAGGGCGAACTCACATCATCGTTATTCAGCTGACACTCCTTCTGAGACAAGAACCTTCTCTAAAATCGGTGTCAAAAGAGGAGGCTATAGCCCTCTGCTTTTACTGCAGCCTGCAATGCCCATGGCTCCCACTTCAGGCAAGACCAAGACTTTGCACCACTGGTGTGAGCTTCCCAGGCATTACATCAGGAGGGAAGTCCTCAAGGTCCATCAGCACCTTGGTGGGAATGGCAGCCTCTAGTGGGAGGCACCTATGAGAGGCCTGTCCGTCCAGATCTCTGTCAGTACACAGTTACTACCAAAAGGAATAAAGTTTCAGCAACTCTGTGATAAAAGTGTGACTGGATTTTCCTTTCAGACTTGCATTCTTATCATCACCTACTTTTGTCCATCCCAGTTGCCTTACAGAAAAGCAGCCTTCTTAGAGTGAGTCAGGATTTTGATCTTTGAAAGATGTAACACCTTATATCTCAAGATCATTCACGCTCATAAAAAAAAAAAAAGTCTACCATTACTCATTGGAAAATAAGAGTTGCTGGTAATATGTGCTAACATATCTTAAATTCTGGCTCCCAGAGAAAGGTGTTGTAGAGAAAATCAGAACTATGTCAGTGACGAGAGATATGGTAAAACATAATCTTCCAGTGATATTTTTCCTATTTTTTACTGTTTATGAACAACTGAGACAAACAGATGCCTAATTTGCAATTTACTCCTGCTCAGGAATTAATCACAGCGACAGAATGTGCAAGATTGTTATTTGCTTTAGACCTCCTGCTAACAGAAAATCTGTTGCATTGTATTTTAGATGTCATTGTCTATATTCCTCATATTCTTGTCAATTTCTGTTTGTTAACATGCTGTGATCATCTCTAAAACAGTTTAAAGCAGGTATTACTTGCAGAGTTAATTATGCATTCAAGGCCAGTTGCAGAAAGCAAAGGAAAACAGGAACATGGAGTGGAAGAACAACTCAGCCTGAATTCCCCGTTTACTCATGAGGATTAAAAGGCTAAAAAACCTTTGCGGATTTCTAAATAGTAAGGCAAGTGTAGGAATAGTATGTGTTTTATTTTTGTAAAGGCAGTTATCAGATCCTTTTATTAAGAAAAGGACACATACAGCACTCACTGATATGTAAGGTATCATGGTCAGCAGGTGAATGATGTGTCCTCCCACATCCTACTAATCTCACAGTTACATCATATCTGTACCTGAGCTCCTTTTATTTCCACGGGAAACTCACCTTTTGCCTGCTCTTGCCCTAGCAGCATTTTATGGCTCCCTTGCCATTAACAATAACTATTTCTGTGCATATGAACTCGTTTGGTATTTTAATCATTTTTCCTTGGAGAACGACCAAAAGCAGAATGGCCAAAAGACCACTTGCAATCTGAGAAAACTACCATTCTTGTAAAAGTCAGCCAGTCCGTCCACTTGACATCAGGTCATTCCTTGTGGTTGCCATGTCAAGACTTTACTATTGGATTGCTTTACCTGCACATACAAGGGGCCAAGAAGGAAACCAGATTTGGCTATGGTTTTTGACTTCCACGGAGAAGAGCCTCTTTGCAGCTTAAACTTGGCTGCAGCAGGTACACCTTATGTGAACTGCAGGTTTCCTTCGTTGCTTTTCTCTCTACCAACTCTGTTACTCTGTGCCTTTGCACAGAGTAGCAACAGAAACTCACAGAAGGTGTAATATTTAGGAAAAATAAAACAAAAACAACATTTTCCCTAACTTTTCATGCAACTTGTTGCACTTTTCACAAAGATAACTGAAAGATAACTTGACTGAATTACAAAAATACCAAGTTATTAAAGGCTCTTTGATATATAGGATGGATACAAAATGTGGCTACAGAAAATCTTCAAAGCAAAATCAAGTTAGAAATTCATTAGGTCTGAAGAATGAAAGTCAGTAGGACAACTCTCCTATCTTTTTAAATAGGATCAGATCAAGATCTTCAGTCTGGCAAAAGCAGAACCATAATATGGCTGTGAAAGTCACTGGGCAAGTGGTATGGCAATTTAAAAGTCTGGCTGCTGTTATACGTTGTAGGTGATCTAAGGAGATCACAAGTTCTCAACAAAATCAGATTCTGAGAAGTATATATTTCAAGTTGACTTTTTTCCCCAGTGCTATCTATTCTAACATTATTTTTGTTTAAGTGCAGAAATATGTATTTTAAAGTTTAAAATTGAAATTACCTCTTCTTTAAGAGTTTAAAGAGTGATTTTAGATATTGTCAGATTTTTTTCCTTGGTTACATACTGAAACTTTTCAAATTCAAGAGAAATACACCTTCCACCGAAACACATTTCCAAGTTTCTATAGTCTGTTCCAATGCATATATTTTTTGTTAGTCAGACTAAAGATAAACCACTAGAAAGCAACTGGCTGCTAATAACTTGTGCCTATTCCAAGTTTTTGCAAACTTTAAAATATCCACCCTTCTCCCAGTAAACACAATGCAATAGCAGTCTAGACATATTTTATGCAATTCAAATTATCCATTACACAATGACAGTGTAGAGCAGTCACAACATAACACTCAATTTCACGTAGAAGTCAACCAGCAACTCTTGTCTATCACAACTGAATGTAAAATACGGAGATTAAAGTAGAAATTTCCAATAAGAATGCAATTATGTCTAGGAATTCATATACAAGTGAAAACTATTTACCTTAAGCAGAATAGAAAGTACAATGACAAAATTAGATGCTTTCTATGAGACTATAGTATCATTTAAACTTATATTTGACCACAGGATTAATAAGAATATTCACCCCATTCTAGAGCATTGAGTATATGCTTTTTAATATTGTTGCAGATTTCCTTAGTAGAATACTGACAATGGAAATGGTCCATTCAAATCCTTGAAAAGACAATTTATAAGCAGCTGAATAGGAGAAAATATGTACAATGTTACTAAACTTTTTCTTAACTACTTATACTTCTGTACATATTAGTTTATATCAAGCCTTTATAAAAATCAAAGAATATTAGCTTTATTTTCTTAATGATTTCTCCAACTCTAACAGCAAATTTTAAACATTTCTTCATATGGAGTTACCCCAGTTCTAACAGAGAATCAAATTTATTGCCCTAAGTGAGAGCAACTACATGGGGAAGAAGCAGTGAAATTTAAAACAGATTTTGAAAATTCCTGTTAAGAATTTCAACACAAAAACATGGTGTTTCTTTAAATACAATTGCAGTTTTCCTGAGGTCCAATGGTGAGGTTAAAAATCCTGAAATTATTAGAGATACAGTTGCATGGAAGAAGTTATTCCTGATTTTTTTTTTAATCTTTGACATACTTTGAAATCATAATTTCAAGATTTTTATCTGTAATAGTAAATGCTAAAAATATTGCTTTAAAAAGATGCATTTCTTATAGATTCACAGGACTCAAAAACTGCAGTTTAAAGAACATTAAATATCAACAAACAGAATTAAATTGGGAAAGCCAGCAATACTGAACATAAAATACCGTTGCTAACAGTATGAAGCATATCACTAATATACATTAAGTTTCACTGTTTCTTGCAAACAGCTGTACAAAATCCTGTCATTTTACTTTGTATTACAAATAAATATTTTCAAGAGCTGTCCAGCAACTGATTTTAACAATATTTCAGAGGAAAACCTTCTGATTTTAAATGTTGTATCATATGACTCACCTTGAATAGGGCAACTGACTTGTCAGCTGAACCTACAAGTACTTAACACATGACTTGCATCAGGTTACGAGAAGACAAGCAGCTAAATCTCCCCACCAAGTACACAGGCTCTAACTCCGAGGGAGTGTTTATATATTCCAAGAGACGTCAGTTCCCTCTTTATCTTTTTGACAGAAGAAAAAGTTGTATTGGTGCTGGAAGGGGGGTTATTTTTACAGTCTGACTAAAAGCCACTACCTACCACTCGTGGTAATATACTTAGCAGCTGCAATCTTTGTCAAATTTTGATCCAAGTGAGTCAAAGGTCAAGGATACAAAAGGGTAACTTGCTTATTTGGTTCGGGTCACTTCTCTAATATCCATTTGCTTTAAAACTGCTCATATTAGCAAGTTTTGGCTAACCAGTTCCTGACAGCTTCTTTATGATTCCGAATATTTTCGAATGTTCTGTGCTACATAGCATGCTGTCCTGTATAAACAAAGCCTTAATACTGCAGTCATTCTCTCAAAATACAGGCTAAACACTTCCACAGCTTAATTATCGTGATAGTACATTTTCAAATAATAAAAAGGAGGAAATGTCTGAACAGTTTTTAAGAGATTTTTGTCATGGTTTGGATTACAACATTTCCTCACAAAGTGCTAATGTTCTTCCTCTTTTACTGCAAGTTCAATGAACATCATCTCAAAAGCTTCTTTTTCTTAATGTATTTAAAATTTAGTTATTTTTACACTGACATCTGTGTAGACCACTGTGTCACCTCCACACAGTGTCCACTAAGAATTAACAATAATCATTTTGGTAAGATTTTGTAGAAATATTTTCAAATACTTCCTAATCTCAAGTTAATTAAATGAATGATTTTAAAAGATTCTTCTGGCAGCAGCAAGAGGAAGTGACTTATATTTGGTTTAATCAATTATAAGAGAGAAATTATTCCTAAAAATTGATTCTTAGTTCCATACTTTCAGGGTATAGCATTGAATAGTTTATGATCCATGTGGTTAGTATTTTCTGTGTGCTTAGTCTTCTGTTTTTGATATCGTCCTACATGAAAACTAAGCTTTTGTGGAAGAAGCTCCTTTCTTCCGATATACTTTTACTAAGTAAATCTAAGACAGATGAAGATTAACAAATTTGATGGTTTATCTCCTAGTATACAAGCAAGAGCGAAAGTGAGTCTGGTCCTTTGAAAGCAACCTACAGGACAGTTATTGTACCAAGCTCACTGCCAGGGAAAGCTGGTGAACCTGACTTAACTTTGTTTTCACATCCTTGAAAAGTGGAGTAAATTTGTTTTCTTTTATTGTCTAATTCAAGGGTGGAGTTTAACTGCTGAAAGAAGCAGTTCTTCACACTACGGTTCCCATGCACTAGTTTTGTGAGTATTATCATTACCTGTTTCCAGTGGACATCTTGTTCAGGCTCCCACAGCTTTCTTCCCAGGCTGTCCTGCCTTCTTCACTGCTGATTTGTCTCTTTTAAGAGGAAGTACTTTCAGTTAGTCACACCTGCCTCCCAGGATCTTCCCTGCCATGCTCGTTTTCTCTATTTTCAATGCACGGGATTCAGTGTGCACCGTTTGTAAGGGAGGAAAAGGTCTAAATATCACAGATGTAATGAAGCTCAGTTTTCAACATATACATGTTGAGTTGTGTGAGCTAATTTTGTGACTCGTGATACCGCGTTATCATCCTATATGAGCAAAACCTCTTCTATCAGGCAGCACTTGGCAGTGAAATGAGGACTGCCACGTTCAGCTGCAGAAACCAGCCAAAAGGATCTGAAGTTAAGAAGGAAGATGTGCACTGTTGAATGTCAGTCATTCATTTCTCTTTCAAAACAAAACAAATCATAAATACTGAATGGTCATCTGCATTCTCTGGCCTCATATCAGAGGTCAGAGGTTATAGGGGAGAAAATACAGAGATGCACAGCAACAGAATGAAGACAGAAAAAGAAAAAAAAAATGTACTTCATTGGAGTCCCCAGGCGTGTGACAACAGAAAAACAACCTCAGAAGGAGAAACTGTCCAGAAAGGGAAACGATGTACATGACACTCACATGCTTGATTAAGACACAGAAAATTGCAGGCAGCAGCAAAAGCCAACTGCAGTTGTTAACTCCCAATGAAACTCACCCCCATTTCCTGGCATAAACATACTACTGTCAAGAAAATGCTGAAGGGGTGAGTGTGATTCCTGGCTTTTCTAGACATATCATAGCAAGGCCTTTTAGAAATCACTTTCCTTGGGGTATTTTCTAAATATAGAGGGAACAAATGAGAAGAGCTATCATCTTTTTGTATGCCCTCAGAGTCCTAAACATTCAATGCCTCCTTTTTTTTTTATGTTAAAGTCCCTTCCATCAGGGTATGACACACCTTTACGGTACATATAATTTGGATTTTGAGGATGCCCACATGAACGTTCCCACATTCCTGTGGGAATTGTCTAATGTACATACAGCACACCATAATTTTATATTCTCATGTTCCCACAGTCATTTCAATGGATTTATTGTTTATCTAGCTTATTCTATTAGTATCATATTATGTGGCTTCTACACGCCCTACCCAAAATCCTGTTGCCATCACTGAGTGATCCTCTGGCTTTTCTAGCTGTTGAATCACAGAATTACAGAATGTTAAAGGGTTGGAAGGGACCTCAAAAGATCATTTAGTCCAACGCCTCTGTCAAAGCAGGATCATCTAGAGAAGGTCACACAGGAACACATCCAGGCGGGTTTTGAATATCTCCAGAGAAGGAGACTTCACAACCTCCCTGGGCAGCCTGTTCCAGTGCTCTGTCACACTCACAGTGAAAAAAAAAATTCCTAATGTTTTTGTGGAACCTCCTATGTTGCAGCTTGCATCCATTGCCCCTTGTCCTATCACTGGACACTACTAAGAAGAGCCTGGCTCCGTCCTCCTGACACTCCCCAATGAGATCACCCCTCAGCCTCCTCTTCTCCAAGCTAAAGAGACCCAGCTCCTTCAGCCTTTCCTCAGAAGGGAGATGTTCCACTCCCTTCATCATCTTTGTTGCTCTGCACTGGACTCTCTCAAGCAGTTCCCTGTGTCTCTTGAGCTGAGGGGCCCAGAACTGGACACAATATTCCAGATGTGGACACACAATATTCCAGACTGAGTCCCAACAAGAAGGGTTGTCAGTAGTGAAAGATTTAAAGCATTCAAAAAACTCACAAAAAATAACAACTTGTGGCTCCTGTCTCCAAATTAGCTCCTTCCATTTCAACACACTCATGTTCACATAATATATAAGAAGCAGCATATGAGATATCCACCCAGACCAGCTTCAATAATTTACTTCACTTTTGTTGCATAACAGCCTCCTCCAGAGTGAGTATGGCCTATCTTCAAGTACTGCCTATAAAGAACTTGAATATGTAACTCCTGAATTATAAAAATAGTAATATAGAACTAATATTTTTTTCCTGAATTATATGTTCACTGTCTCTGTCTCAGCCACTGTTGCTGTGACTATTTCCTACCACCTCATTTTCCAAAAGACACAGAACAGAACAGAGTTACATGGCAGGAGAAGGAAGAATCAAGATATTACAGTTGTTTAAGTTTTGCATTTAATATCTTATCTCTAAAGACATAAAGACAAGAACAACTATTTCATTCATCCTTTTCTTGCTTAAAGTTAATACAAATATTTTTTGCGAATAACTTTATTGAGGTAAAAGTAGTCATCTGGCCTAAGGAAGATGAATTGCTTTCTTGTCCTCTAAGTTGAGAGGTAGGAGCACATCCACAGACTCATCCCAACTACCTTAAATGTTTATCTTAGGCAGAGATGTTTTATATCCTTTGGAGGTATTGGTGTCTAAATGACTCACTACAGTCATACATCTAACTTTTAGAAAGTTAATGCTAGCAGAAATCCACTTAAACTCCCCCAAAAGTCTTTCAGTTCCTCTGCTCATCACTGTACCTTACCAACGATATCAGGACAGCCATACAAGGTTCTGGTAAGTGAAAACAAGTTGTGACACAAGAAGAAAATGCAATGAGAAAATTACAAAATATTTGCTGCCTGACATTAATGAAAAGTTTGGCCAAAGATTGCAGACACGATGCAGCAATTTTTGTGTACCACACAACACAGACTTTTACTGCAGGTGTTTTGGCCTTCAGGGCTTTCCAGTGTATGCCCTGAGGTATGCTCCAACCACTTATATCAAGCGATCTTCAGCCACCTGAAAAAATATGCCAATTAATACATCTCAAGCATGCATTGATACTTGATTTCTCACCATAAAGGCTTTCAAGACTCATTCCAAACTCCTGTGTAGCTCTTTCATTAGTTACTAAAGACTCCCAGCTGCAATCTTCCCAGCTCTGTAGAGGTGCTGCCCCTTGTGATTCTCAGTAAGTTCTGATGATATGGAAAAAATCCTAAAATACCATTGGCTGAAGCCAGTTTGGCAGCAGGACAGTGGAAACAGCATTTGACTCCTGATGAGTTTCTATGTCAAACCATAAGTAGGTTCTTTAAAGGGAAAAATGGGTGATGGAAGACCAAGCAGCTGCTTCAGTTAATTTTTTTTCCCTGGAAATATTGATTCCGAGCTCTTCTTCACCAACTGTGGAATGTCCAAACTGCTGCCTTTCTCAGCCCTCAAGATGACTTTTAAAACTTTTTTTCAAGTTCTTTTAGCAGGGGAATCGGGTGAAGAAAGCACAAGAAAGGCAGCGATAGAGCAGACTTTGATACCTCCACCCCTATGGGTTCATGTGAGAGTCACGTAGAACATAGATAGGAAGGAACTTTGTAGAACTGAACCCAGTACAGAAACTGTAATATAATAACTTGGGCTTCTGAGTGAGTCTGAAGGAGCTATAAAAGACTGTTACCTAAAGAGCTCGGTCAGTCTATTAATGCTAGAGACATTTCTCTCTGAAACATAAGGAGGGTACAGAGAGAAGGCTCTAATGGCAGGGGAAAAGCATTTTGAAGGCAGATGTCTTTTGAAAGTCAAGAGAAATTTAATAAATCTTCTCCCTACTTGGATATATTCCACTTCTTGCAAAACTCTTCTCCTTGGCACAGACGTCACAGAATAATGGAGT